TCGCCGGGGCTCTCTCCCACCTTCGAAGAATCGCCCGGATTTCCCTCTGGATCCGAGGGCCCGCGGCTGCAGCCCCGGGCAGGTTCGTTCCCCTCCCAGCCACCAGGGACCGAGGTTTGGGGGCGCCAGACCTTCTTGACTTGGTGGAGGGGAGCCAGCGGTGCTTGAATGCGGGGCGGGTGGGGAGGCACCCATTCGCCCATCCCCTTGAGACCGGCTTAGCGCGCGGGTTACGTGCAGTCTCGCTCCCCCTCCACCCCCCCTTGTGTTCCCCAGGCCTGCCAGCTGGGTCAGGGGGCCGCGGGGGCGGAGATGGGGAGCCGGGACAAAAGGTGCCGCGGGTGAGCGAGCCCAGCCGGGCCACACGTTCGCTTGGGGGGGTGAGGCCGGGGAGTACCCCCCCATCTTCCATGGGGCAGCCTCCCGTCCCTGTCCCTGGGCCTCTGCCTGCATCGCTCACCTGTGCAGGAAGGTGGCCTCGGGCACTGCAACCTGGGTTTCACCGTCCCTCATCTGCCCAGGCGGCACAGGTCCTGTGAGCTGCCCCAGGGACCGGTGGAAAGCAATCTCACTCTATTTCCAGATTCTCTTCATGGCCCCCTGAAGCCCAGGTGTGGCTGCGGCACTGAGAGGTCACTGCCCATCTCTGGTCCTGGCTGGAAAAGGTGGCACCGGGCACCAGAGTGTGGCACGTGTGCCAGGCCCACGTTGTCCGTCTCCAGCCTTGACCCTTCCTCCAGAGGAGGAGAGGGAGAGCAATGGGGTAAAGGCCCCGGCAGGGTGACCTTCCGTCTGGTGACCCAGAGGTGGTGACGAAAGCTGGGCTAGACAGAAGGGACAGCTTAGGGGGTGGGAGTGGGGGTGGCCTGAGAAGACTTTTGTCCTCATCTGGGAATTTTGGCTCAAGTGAGAAGGAGACTGCGCTGCTCCTCTCCGGCTGGGTATCTCAGTTGTTGAGCGTGGACCTATGAACCAGGAGGTCATGGTTCCATTCCCGGTCAGGGCACATGCCCAAGTTGCGGGCTCGATCCCTGGTGTGAGGCCTGCAGGAGGCAGACGATCAATGATTCTCTCTCGTCATTGATGTTTCCATCTCTGTCTCCCTCTCTCTTCCTCTCTGGAAACAATAAAAGCATGTGTGTGTTTTTAAATGCTGTGGGAATGGAACAGGAAGGAAGATAGAGGAGCAGAGAGATGATGAGAAGCTGGGCTTGCATGGGCAGGCCTTCCTGATGAGACTAACTGAATCAAATAGCCCAGCCCAGGCATGTGGGATGAGGACGAGTACCCCAAGTCCGGGACAGTAACCTGCCTGGCAGCCTTTGCCACTAGCTCGCTGGGTGACCCTGGGTAAGTTGTTGCCCCTCTCCAGGCCTGTGACGTGAGGGGTGGATACGGATCTCGCAGGCCTTAACACTTACCTTGCTAGGTTGAGGGTCAGTCTTGGGGATAGAGACGGATGAGTTCATCCTTGAACTTTGCTCCAGCCTTGGCTCTCCACCCACTGAGTTTCCCTGCCTTTCCAGACACACATGCCATGGAATCACAGCCAGCAGTTTCAGAATACCTCCCGCAAGTCAGACTCCTCATGGCTGTTACCTCTGGCACACACAACGCCCTGGCGTGCCTTGGAATACGTTTTAATGGGCGAAGAAACAGACTCGGAGATTCAGCTACTTGCCCACGGCCACAGTGAGCAAAGGCCCAGGCTCTCCCCACGCTCACTTTGTGGCTTTGGGTAAGTTGTGGAGCCTCGCCAGCCGCAGTTGCCCTCTTTAAGATGGGGGTAATAATATCCGCCTCCTGCCAAGGGTCGGGGTAAGGGTTGAGTATCATGGTCCGGAACTGGTGCTCTGTCAGTTTTCAGTGATTGTTACTTTCACCATCCTCTGCTTCCTCCTGTGTCTACATTCTGAGACCTTCCTCCGTGTTAGGTGTGGGAAGCCTTTTGTCGGAGGGGGAATTATTTTTCATGTCTGCAAAGCCATGAGAGTCCTAGTAGACACTGGTTCCATGAGAGGCAGGGGGTGAGGGGGAGCG